ACCAAAGTTATCACGTGAAAAGAGGCGTGTTAGCTCGTGTCCTCGATAATAAGTATTGAATAACGTGTTAAAGTCTCGATTCGAATATAAAATTATTTTTAAAAGCTGCTCTAGACAAAAAGTTGCCGTATAGGAGGAAAAAAAATTATCTAAATTTGAAATTTAAAACCCGGCGATATGAAAATAATGGAACTTATTAAATCATAAGATCGCTTAAAGCAGTCTTGCGGGTACTAATTACAGCAAAAAAAAGCTTAATTATCATCTTAATTATTGGAATTTGATGCGTAGCATTCAATAGTCTTATTGTTACGTAATTTATATTGCCGATCGAGTGGTAAAATAATTTTTAATTGAGGAAAATTGAGCTTAGATTTTATCTGATGGTCGTTTTATCTGAGCGCGATGACAAATTAAATACCAAATTAATTAATTAATATTTAAGACACGGGGTGTGTTAGTTGGTGTGTGTGACCTTGTTGGCAATGATGACAAGTGCTATTAGTTAAATACGTCATTAAATTTTTATAAATTTATAATATGTACATACATGCATGTAAGATCGAATTCTGCTTCGGAATAAGATAACCGGTAACCGGTCAGACTGCAACGACCTACCTCAGCGCGTTATATATCTATATATCTATATATATTTGTTAAATGCGTCATCAAATGTTTCATTGCTTTTTAGTTTTTTTATTTTGCGAATATTAATGCCTAGTGCACATGTCTAATAATGCATAACTGTAATTAAATACACATCCGTGACATTTTTTATTTCTGAGGACTGTAACAGTAAATTTTAGTGGGTTTTTTTGAGCGAAGGGAACCCCGAGCAGGTTTGCGGCTTGGGAATATTTTAGACAAGTGATGGGGAAACCCCGAATTTGTAAAAATACCGGGTAGCAGGAAATAAACGAAGGAAGATGAGAAGAAATGTTTGAGTAGTATTTTTTTATCTAAATTTAATTGCTTGTTATGTAAAATATTTATCTATTTAGAAAATTTAACTAATAAGGTAAATTTTACAATTTTACGTCAATGGAAAAATATCTTGGATTTAACGGCTTGTTTACTACACAGAAAAAAAAGTCATCTTGAGTCAAGTAATATTTACTTGATCCAAGTATATTCAACTGAAGATAAAATATATTCTTGAGTTAAGGAAGTCATTTCGCTCCAGATGAGTCACAACAACTGTAGTAGTCAATATTCGATAAATTAAAATAAAAAACCCATAAAAATTCCTAAAATTAAAAAATAAATAGTATATGAGGCATTAATCGTTGAAATTTTGAAAATTAAAAAAAAAATAGTTAAATACAAAAATTAATTTGACTCTTGTAAATCAGCTGTTAGTAACCAGTCCGTGATTTGGCAACGCTTTATTTCGGTTGTTTAAATTTTTATTTGCACAATATAACCTTAACCATGCTTAACTTTTGCAGTTAATGTAAATAAATAAATTAATTAAAAATGTTTAGTCACAAAATCATAACATTCTAATACCAACTATTCTTGAATTTAAAAATAGCTCATTAGGTAACTAAAAATTAATCTCCATACTTGAAGTAAAAAGAGAACGAGTGAACATAGAAAGAAGACTTAGCAGAGAATTTTCTAAATCTAGCTCAAGACAGTCTAAATAATTTTATAAACGATTAAATTTATTGACAACGAATATCAGTGATGTAGATTAAACTTAATGACGACTATAATTAAAAAAATCGAGTAAGAAATAAAATCATATCGAATAAAAGTGAAAAAAAAAACAATATTATAAAAGTCTATAAAAATAAAAATAAAATTGTTTAAATTTTTATCTCTCGAATATATTGCACTGATATCGTATTCATAATTCGTACGGTTGGTTCAAAGGAAACCGAGCGATACTTCACCTCAAAAGGACTTGTTGTATTAAAGTGGAAACGAATCTCTCTTTATATACATATATACATAATAATAGTATAAAGCTCTGTTGCTGTATAGAAGGTATTATTGCGATCCCTTTTGCTCTACGGGAATTTAATATGTAAGCGTTTAGTGCGCGTTCTAAATAGCAACATTCCATTTTCGCTTTATTTTCTTATTTTACTGTAAATACTTTATAGTATGTATTTATTAATAGATAAAGTGATTTCAATTTTGTAAGTAAGCGACTAAAGTAACATTCCTTAATATCTCATTAATATATGTCTATACATCAATGGGATACAATATTTATGTGGGAATAATTGATTTCATCTAAATAACTCGAATTTCAATTCACATATTCAGTTCATTTTTGATTATTCGTTGATGTTCGTTTACTTTCATAATGAAGAGGGATTATCAATTTTGGTGGACCATTAATGGCATTAATGGTATTAAGCATGAACAATTAATCATACACAGAAAAAGAAGTCATCTTGAGTCAAGTAATATTTCCTTGATCCAAGTATATTCAACTGAAGATAAAAGAAAGAACCACCTTAAGTAAAATTTTTTCTTGTTTTGGTCAATCTTGGTTTCAGTAAATATCCCCTAGTTCCAACAGGCTTACCAACTTGAGTGAAAAAAAAAAACCTCTTAATCCAAGTAAATCATTCTCTTGGTTTTTGCCAACTTGCTTGATATGGTGTACACACGGGCGCATCGAGGCCCGAGTAGGACAGCAGCCGCGTGGAAGCTAGAGTTCCGGGAGTCGAGACTTTTTTTCAGAAATTTCCTCCTCTTTAAGGATCTTTTTTCTGATTGTCGATATCACTTATAGTTATTGAGTTATTAACGCAACAAATTTCTAACCGTGTACTTTGTATGAGTCGAGCAAATACTTGTATATACAAATATTTTCGTCACTACACACTTAACTGTAAATCAGTAATATAATGGGAAATCAGCAAGTTAAAAATTAATCAAAAATGTCTAATTAAATGAACACAAAAAATAAAAATCATGCATAAGGTGATTTTTTTTTTATTTAATTCTTTATTAAAAAAATCTCGGTTTAGTTCCAAAAAATCACGTCGCCAACGTTGGCGCTACTTTCCAAACCAAGAGAAAGATTTACTTGGGATAAGTATATGACATTATTAGTTCAAGAATAAACAATAACTTGAAACAAGAAGTAAATTTTGAAGAAAATGATTTTCTCGAGTCAAGATGACTTTTTTTTCTGTGTATATTGATGATTTGGCTATTAGATTTAATTTTTGAATACGGGAAGTTTATTGTAAACAAGTTGAATTTTATATTGAGAGAAGGTTCTAGATTTTGCGTCATTTATAGTTTCTTGAACTGTTGAATTTTATTATCTTATTTGTGTTCTTGGTTGTTGTTATCCATTCGAGGGAAGAAATTATAAGTGAGAGAATTATAAATGAGAGAAATGGTTATGTAAGAATTCCTTGTTGAGTAATCTCATGTTCACGAAGGAAAATTGTTAAATTTACATTATGTATTTATAAAACTTATATTTTTTAATTACTTATCAGGAATAGATTCGAAATAATTTGATGTAAAGAAAAATTTTATGTAAATTTTTTCATAAAAAATTATAGAAGAGTTTTGGCTATATATAATTTTATACAGATTTATATAATGTATTTTTTCGATGTAAAATTTACAAATTTTCAATCATTAATTTTACATTTCTTTCGTGTAAATTTAACATTTTTTCCATGTCCTAAATTTACATTATTTTTTTAGTAAATTAAAAGATTTTTTATCCGCTAAATTTACTTTTTTTTTTCCTCTAAAAATTGTGATTTTTTTCCACATGCTAAATTTACATTCTTTTCTTGTAAATTTAACATTTTTTTCGCATCCAAAATTTACATTATTTTTCTTTTAAATTAAAAATTTTTTCACATGCTAAATTTACATTTTTTTCCACATGCTCAATTTACACTTTTTCCATGTAAATTTAACATTTTTTCCGCGTTCTAAATTTACATTATTTTTCTCTTAAACTAAAAATTTTTTTCACATGCTAAATTTACATTTTCCCATATAAAATTAAAATTTTCACATTATAATTTTTTATAATGCAAAAATTAAATTTTACTGTGTAAAACTATTCGACAGATCCTTCTCAAATTTTACTAGGATTTTTTTCCACATAACTTGACAATTTTTAAAAAAAAAGCTTCAAAATTAAATGAAAATTGTAGTATAAATAAAATTTCTTCCACTCTAATGAACCAATAAACAACATAACTCACTTTTTTGAGGTCTCAACTAAGAGCATTTAAAAATTTTCAACTTATATTTTCTTAGTTTTTTTTTTTTTTTTAAGTAAACTGTTATTACTTACAACTATTTAATTATAGACTATCAAAAATCCAATTCCGATTACGAAATTAATAAAAATAATTTTCAATAAATAAAAAAAAGCCTGAGTTTTTATACTTACAATATCGCGGTATCGCCGACGATATGTTACTGCAAAATAGCCGGTAAAAGTCAACCTATTTAAATCTGATGTTATTCATACTAAAATGAATTTATTGAGTATGAGCTTCACATACATGTATCGAAAAGACCGAATTTATTGATGACCTTGACAATTTAGCTTCTGAACCAGGCAAAAATATAATATTGAAACCACGAAAACCTTGAATAAAAACATATTTAGATAAAGGTTGATCAAGCTTATTCATTTAAATGATTAATTGTTCATTATTAAGTCCTTTATTTTATCGATTTTTATGTCTCGAGGTTGTTTTAGAACAATATCATCATTATTTCTTTTCACTGAGTTACAAAAAAATTTTCACTTTTCAAAAACTAACTAAAGTAGTGGTAATTACTCAAGTAGTTAAAAAAAAATAAATAAAATGCTAATTAAATGTGATTACTTGATCGAATAATCACCCGCATTATTTACAATTGACAAATTATAAATAAAACAACAGTTTCCTATAACTGTAACAATAAATAAATAAATTACAATACAAATTACAAAGAAAAAATCTAATCTAAACAATATTTTCTTCCTTACAATTAATTTAAATTTAAATTTAAATAAAACTATAACATCCTTTATTATGATTAATTTTATTAATCAAAGTGACACTCGTATTTCTTCTTAACGCCGACATTTTAACCCAACCAGTATCATCATTATCCTCGGAATTATGATAATTATCTTGAATTTTAAAGATCGATTTCACATCTTTCAAAAACTGATGCAAATCTTTGCCGAATCCCGTAATACGACTAGACTCTTTGCTGGAATAATTTTTATTTTTATCCACCGATAAATCACTGTAAAAATCAACTTCTCTGCAATACTGACAAAAATTATTATCATCATCAATAATTCTAGACTCTGGACGTTCTTTTGAGTTCATTTCCACGATAAGATTTTTACTTTTAACAACCGAATCAAAATTAATCTTCTTTTCACTGGATTTTAGTTGTTTAGGTGAATTATAGTCTTCATCTTGACCTCCAGCTGCTACTCCAGACAAATTGATGTCGATCAAAGTTGAGTGACCGGCTGGTTGGCTTCCTAAAGCTGATGTAATTGACGACCAACATTTCAATGGACTTTTCCTCTCACTCTCAATATTCAAATTTAAATCATTGAAATTTAACATTCGCCGACACTTTTTTATGAAACTCGTCACAAGTTTTGGCTTTTTACTTTCAATTTCAAATGAATTTGTTAATTCTAGGTAACTTTGTTCTCTTTCCGGAGTTTTTGATACATTTTCTTCATTACAATCGCCATCTTTTCGGTCTACCACCGACTTGAACGATTTTGAGTCTTCACAATGAATTATTTCAACTTCTGGGTACAGTGAATTGTAAAGTTTATCCTTCAAATCATAATTATCATTAATTTTGTCATCACTATTGATTACAAATGACAATTGCGCTTTTGTTTGAGAAGGTAGATGCTTGCGCGGAGGTTTAACAATTTTTTTTTTAATTGTAACACCGATTTCCGGTGGATCATTTTTTATAATCTCTTTATATTCAGTAGAACTGTGCAAATCATTTATATTATTATAATTATTGTTGTTGTTGTTGTTATCAATTGCATTGACCAAATTTGGAAAATCAGTTTGAGTTCCTTTAGATTTCAAGGTTGTCGTGTAAATAGTATTGTTTTGCAATTGAGAAATATCGGATCTAAATCTAAAGGACAAAAATTCCGTAGACACGTCATTTTTTTTCTGACTTAACTCTGTTAACTCAGGAACTAATTTTATAATCTTTCGTTTTTTCACGCGTACTTTCACCGGAGAACTGATTGATCGCTTTGAAACTTTGCGCGGATTTTTTGAATCATCTAGAATAATTATATGTAAATTATAAATTATTATTACTGTAATTATAATAATTTAACCTACAAAATTACCTTGATGAAGCCAGGGAGACACGCATGTATGATACACAACACCAATCGCAACTGCCAGACCTACTATGAATGGTATTTTTGGGCTTTTTAATGTTCTTAAAGCACTTTCAAATACTCCAAGAGCCATTTTCACTATTTTAAAAAATATTTTTGAAACTTATGTTATTATTCAAGCGCTTATGGCAGCGAATTAGAAAAAAAAAAGCTCTTTTTTTCTTCTTTAGCTTCTAATATCTATTAGAAGCTTTTTCTTTGTAAAACTGAGTGCTTAAATTGTAGAAACTACTTGTACTGTATTTAAATTACTTAGGTATACTTTTGCGAACAATTTCTTCAAAAATAAACAAACTTATTTACTATCGGAATTTATTGAAAGTTTTATTGTAAATAAGAGAATTACAAGCATGAAAGAATTGATTCTTTAATCGCTTAATTTTAGAAAGAAGCTTAATAGATGTATAGTTTTATTTCACATGCTATAGCGCGTTTAATAGACTGCTTCTGATAGCTTCTTTTTATCTCACTTGATATCTTTTACTCATTACCCACGAATATTTTTGAAAGTTTTGATAGATTATAATTAAACAAAATTCAAAAATTTTTGAACTTTATTTAAATTACAAATTATAAATAATTTAGATAAATTATTTTAGAAAATTTGCATAATTAGTTTTTTATGATTTCTTTATGTAGGATTTTTTGTATGAATTTTTTTTTAGTTATTTGTTTGTTAAAAATTATCACACTGATTTCAAAAGACATTTGACAATTTTTAGAATTTTTATAACAAATAATTTATGATTTATTACACTAAGTACTTATAACTTTTTTTTTTAATTTCTATTGGTGAAATTTTTTAGCTAAATATTTTTTTTATAGTAATTTAATTGTTATAAAAATTTTTTAATTTATCAAAAGTCTTTTAATTTGATGCGTTATTTGAAATTCATTAAAATTATCAAATATCTCTGAAAAAATAATAAAACAGGGTGAAGATTGGAAGACTATTTTAGAAATCCCTGACTCGAAATAAATTTCTGGAGCTACTGATAAAATAAAAATTACCAGGCAAGAAAGTTACTTGTCATCAAAGTGATAAAACGCGTGAAATGAAGAACTATAATTGTGCTTTTTACAGAAGTGATCATTAAGCTTAACTTGGATTCTTAGGTAATCTCTCAAGAGTTATTTTTACGCGAAAATTATTTTCTTACAAGCTATATCTACAAAATTTGCCGAGAAGAATTTACTAATAGCATTTGAAAAACTATAAATGATTTTTTTGTCATTTAGAAATTTAAATTAAACTTTTTAGTTTAAAAAAATACGTGAAAAAAATATAGCGGATAAATAGGCCAAAAATCCAAATTTCTTATGGATCTAAAAAATTTATAGGTCATTGAAAAACACTTAAAAAAAATTTTTCAGCTATTAAAAGTTTACTTTAAAATTTCTTGACTTTAGATAAAATTCAAAGACCTACTAAAAAAATCAATATTAAATTTTTAAATTATCCCTTAAAAAAAAACTTTTATAATAATTTTAAATACTCTCAATATGTTTATATAGACCTGTATATACTCTTACATGTACTTTATATTACTTATTTTTGTATTTTTGCCATTTGGCTGATGCTTTGGCATTTAAATCGAATAAATAAAATAAAAAAAAAAAAAATTACTATAAAAAAACTGCATGAACTTTTTGTCAATCTTTTACAAATTTTTATTTGATTGAAAAATTAAATTTAGTTGAATAAAGTATCTATAACTCTTAAAAATACAACAAATAATTACAGAGTCAATATTAACCTTGTTTATTAATTATTATATATCATTAGTTTGAAAAAATGGAAATTGCAGACGTTAAGTAATAAAAAATAATATCAACTGTCATTACAGCACAGTTGACTAGCATTGAAAGGATAATAAATAAAAAAAAAATTATTGATTTTTAGTAACTTTCATTTCCTCATAACTCATAAGTTAGTTCAATTGCTTACGCATGTCTTCAATGTGAATATTGTTAAGTTAATTTTCTTTGTTTATTCAAAAATAATGAAAAATTTACTATAAAATTTCATGATTGTTGAAATTTTATGAAAATGAAGTTAGCCGATATCTAAAAAATTTTTAGAAATTTTTTAATGAAAAAATTTGAATTAAGCAGTTAAAAAAAAAATTGTCACATGTAAAAAACTTTACAAACTATAAGTGCAATTGTTTAGAAATGTACGTAAATATACCTGTGGGAACGAATTTTTTTTCAGTAGATCAGTAAAAATTTCATTTTTTCTGTTAATCAGAGGAAATGTATAATAATTGAGAAAAACAGTATTTTTATCATGCACTATACTGTTGAACTACTTAACTTTTCTCCTCGTCTTTCTTAACTTAGAAAAATATTTAGAAAAACACTGACTATCTTGGTTTAAAAGCAAATTTTTGACTGAAAAGATTTTTTCGTCTCAAGATAATTATTTTCTTATTTTGAAAACAATTTAAATCCTCCTAAAAATTTCTTTAATTTTATTATTTTGAAATATTTCCTGTATATAGTTATGACTCAATAATTTTATATCACTATTTAAAAAGACTAACAATATCATTATGATATTATTATGATTTTATAAAGATATGACCATCATTTAATTATTAATTCATTTTAATATCATTATGATTTCATAATGAAATTATGTTAATATCATCATGGAGATACTGTCCTAAGGAATTTCCAACAGATTCAAAAAAGTTTTTTTCTTGAATTATGAATAGAAGGCAACAATATCATTACAATATTATGATGAATTTAAAAAAATATCAGCCTGATTCCATCATAAGTTTACGCAGTTACTATTATGATTTCAGTATGAAATTATGCGTTTGTCACTATGGATTTGTCACGAATCTCCATAAGACCGATCCGTGTGGATCAAATTTTATATTTAATAATAATTTTAAATTACTGGAAATTTGCTTTCTCCAACAAGAAAAATAAAAATTTTATAATCTAGTTAAAAAAATTCGTTTCCATAAGTATTTTACTTAATACAGGTTTCAAATATATTAATATGGCTTTTATATGAATCTCATATTAGTGCCAAAATATGAGATTCATTATGATATTCATTATGAGCCTCATAATGATATCATATCATTTTTACTATATAGTAAAAATTTTGTTATTTTATTAATTACAAAGATTAATATTTGACATATAGGTACATTCATATGTCCAAAAAAAAAATAAATAACCAAATTTTATCTAGCGCAAAATTTGAATCTATCCATTATTACTCCAAAAACTTATCATTATAAATTATCTATACCTTATAAAACCTTAAAACAGTTCAAATTAAAATCAAAACCTTTCTAATAATATCAAATTTAATTAAAAAAATTAATTTAATAATAAAAATACCCGAAAAGCATTTAAATTATTTTTTTATTTATTTATAAATTACTGTAAAAAAATTCTGAAAAAGAAAGAGAGTTAAAGAAGTGATGAAATAAATAAAAGGAGTTTGTCATAAAGCATAAGCTACTAGCCGATCATACGTCTGAAGTAATTGCGAATCATTCCCAACAGAGATGGCAATGTAACCTCGACTGGATAGAGACATTACAATGATTCAACAAATATAATAAAAGGTATATCGTATATGCCTTAGGACATGTACTTGAATTAAATGTAATCACCTAATCACTTATCGCCAACGACAATATCTCAAGGTTCTTCCGGTCTATATTTTATTAATATAAAAAAAGAATAACATTAATATTAATACTCAATATTTAATAGACTGCTACACTCGATATAACCAGAAGCCGGAAGCTTGAAAATTTTTATTTACGCGTAAAAAAAATAATTAATCAATCTTTGAAGTCATCAATGTCCTCTTATTTGCTTTTAATAATTTTTGTTTACATAATTTGGTAATTAATGTAGTTTTTTACTAGCAAGAACAATGGAATTAAAGCAAAATATTTTTTTTTATGATTTATTATGAATATTGAAAAATGGTAATTACCGAGTAATAATATAATAAATATAGTAATTGTTTGTTGGAAAAACCGCATTATTAAATTTTATGGTACAAATATCCTTAATAAACCACGGGTGATTGAATTTATTTTTTCCTTTAATTATTTTCACCTTGCTAATGCTTCCTATATACTAGAGCCTCCAACTTCTCTTTATTTATTTATTTATCTTTATTATTATTATTATTTTTAATTAAAAAATTATTAATCGCTTGTTTTTTATTGCCGTGGAAAATATTCTATTAATTTTAGCTCCTGAAATTATGTGATTAAAATATCTTTCTTGTTTACGATAAAACTGTCGACAATTTCCAGTAAGAATGATTGATTGTTTGTAAATAAATTTTCAATTGAAAATTATTTATTATACTTTAGTCATTTTTATAAAAATCTAACTTGCAGCCGTCCTCATCGTTCAATAATTTTTAACTACGCTAATTTAGTCATAAAACTTATTTAAATTGCAGTAACTAATACAAATAACAATGCTGATCACTAGTCTATAACCTTATTACAGGTTATATAGTGCTGTTAAAATTATACGGCCCCAGCCTGTTCAGGTTATGGGTACCGCTTTGAAAATTTGGAGGTATGGTTGAACGTTAAAATTAAATATAAAACTTATAGTTTTTGTTTTTGCAAAAAATATATGTTATTTAAAAAAGACTATTTCATTAGATGGTACAATTTTTTTGACTTAAAATGATGATATACCGTTTTTTTGACTGATTGTTCGGTTTACGATTTAGTACCTTGTTCATGAAAAAAAATAGCATCTATAGGCGAGTCTCGACATGTCAACTTTTAAGTTAATAAAAATATTATTGTTTTGATTTATAATTGCAAAAACTTACAGAAATCAATTACTGTATCATTTAATAATTATATAATATGCGCATATTACTCATAATAGATTTACGGATTTTGTATTATAACAATTCAAAAAGTCTGTCCAAGTACTGGGTACTTTACCTTAACAGTGTCATCATAATTTTGATTCAATAATCATGATATTGATAAGTCGTTCTTGTAATCATACGTTAAAATCTAATTGTAATTTTGATTAATAAGTAATTAAATGAAA